GCTCCAGCCCCAGCAATTGCAGTGCCCTGGTGCCAACCCGTCTCCAGCCTGCCTTTCTGTTTGGTGTCCAAAGTTTCCAGAAAAGTGAAGCCAAGTTCTGGCTTTCAAAAGCCTGTTCATTGAGTTCCAGGAACTGCAAATTTTCATGAAGGTTCATTTTCATGAGTTCCACTTTCCTGTCCTGAAGAATTTCAAAAGGATGAAGTAAGTGGAAAAATTGGTACCAGGCTCAAGGTCAGATGCTTTGCACTCACCCCTGTGCAGAGGGACCGTGGCTATTTTTCTCTCTCAGTTCACCCACACTTACGTTTGGGAGCATCAACTTTCATCAAAGAGAGAAGGGAACATTCAAGAAAGCCTGTGTTCACTCCTGCATCCTTCCTTGTTTACACTGTACTATAATTTACTGTGGCTGACATATGAAAATGAGAATTCACGTTTAAGGGGCCAGCTTACGATGCTGCTTGCACGCGTGTTATCCAAGTCCAGGCTACTCCACTTCCAATCCAGCTCCCTCTGTGTGCCAAGTGTGGTTCTGCCTGATGCTGGAATCTTCCAGACAGTGAGAAACACCAGGCTGTTTCCCCAGCGGATTGTGTTGTAGCTCATTGCTAACTCTTCACAGGGAAGTGACCTTGGCCGCATAAGAAAATCTCTATATGTTAGTGTTTTCTCATCTGTGAAATGAAATAATAGAATTAATTTCATAAAGTACAGAAAAGGATTATAAAGGGTCTTGAGCAAAAATACCTCATGTGATGCCTTGTGCACGGTAGCTCCTGGCTGGAGAGCCAGCCGTCCTGTGGACGATGCGGAGAAAGCTCTCAGCAACAATGGCAAAGGCTGGAACTAGCACTGTGAACTAACTCGCCACTGCCTCACGCCGGGTGCTCCAGGCTCATCACCTCATCTCAACATGAGCCCTTTGTTGTCTAAAACAACAAAGAAATGAATGTATTTCAGGAATAAGCAAGAGATTAATATGCCAAACATGTATGCTGTGGGAAATCAGGCACACTCAGGGAGGTCAAAGCCAGGGAAACTTTTGGAAGCAAAAAAGGAAAATCTATGTAGTTTGCTTTAAATGCAAGTTTGTCCATTGGGGAGCTAACAGTAGGTGACACCATATGTACTGGGACAAGCAGCCCTGGGTGCAGGATACTTAGCGTCCCTCCCTACCACAAGGTCCTGCAACCCAGGGACAGAAAGTGGTTTGCCCCAAGCCAGACAACCAGCAAGTGGAAAAGGCAGGACTCAGATCAAGACTGTGACGTTCCAGAATCCAAGCTCTTTTGCTACCACGTTGGACTGCCTCTCCATGAGGATTCCCATGGTTTCCCAAACTATGACCTTGCTCAATATGCAGTGCCAGTTCCGGTGCTGGTCTTTGGTCTGGTGGTTAAGACCAGGGATGCCTGCACAGCATCCAGAGTGTCTGCCCAGAGTCCTGGCTCCACTTCTGATTCCAGTTTTGGGCTGATGAGCACCCTCGGAGGTGGCAGGTGGCAGCTCAGCTGCTTGGGTCTCTACCTTCCAGGGAGACCTTGACCGAGTTCTCAATTCCCAGCCTGGCTGAGTGAGTGCAGAGAGGAGGAAAGAGTGAATCGCAAACCTGTCTTTAAAACTATATCTATGTCTACTATATTTATATCTATATCTATCTATGTATTTCTAAATGCAAGTTGGGTATGGATTCCTTCATTCAGCAATGCCTGCTGAGTTACGAGTGGTCATGGTAAAAGCACTGTGGTAAATACACGAGCAAACAGACGAAGCCATTGTCCTCAGGGGTTGGCACCGAAGCAGTCAAGTCCTGAGTGGGATGAAGAACAGCTGCCAAGAGCAGGTGAGGGGGGCAGAAGTGTGGAGATAGAGGCTGGCACCAGGACTGTGGCACAGGGCCCAGGAACGCGAGTGTGGAGTCCTGGGGGAGAAGACGACCAGGTGTTTTGAATGCACATAGGAAGCTCTTGAACCTGAATTTTAAAATCTGTCATTGATAAGTTGAAGTTATCATGTGGCAGTCAGGACCCTCCCTTGGGTCGGTTGCTCTGGCAGCATTGTAGAAGTGAGGCCAGATGGGGAAATGGGACAGGAGCAAGAACATGAAGCTTGTGTTAGAAAGCCATAACATATTTCACCTCAGTGATTTCACTTATCAACAGGCTAAATTGTGTCGTTCAACAATCCTACATTCCTGTACCAAACGCAGCTTCCCGTGTTTGTTGAAGATATGAAATTATCCTTGATTGCACATCAAAAGTCTTACATTCTGTGAGAGACAACATTTTCTTCTTCCCCATTTTTCCACATAAGTTTGTTTTTTAGGTGAGCAAGCCTTGTTACCTTTATATTCAGGCAGAAATATTATCTTTATTTTTTTAAAAAAAAAACAATTTTTCTTCCATGGAGCTCCAAACGGCTGCAACTAATTAAGCCACAGGTCAGCATGCCGCCAGTGTGAGTGGCTTCGTCACCAAGGCAACGCAAAGGCAGCGGACACCGTGTTCCCATGCCTGGCCTCAAAGACGCCTCTTGGCTACATCTGTAGTGGGATTGTCTTGAGGTGCCAGACAGTTCCAGAACACCATGTGAATTGGGCATTGATTGGGACCCTTTCTTTTCTAGGTACCCACCTACCACCTTCCCTCCCAGCCTCGCTCACCCACACTGGTAATGCCATGAATTTCAAGTGCTCTACTGACGCACAGCGTTAAGTACAGAACACTCCAGCGCAGGGTGAGTCTAACCTTCCCTTGTGCCATGCCTGACTGCTGCCAACTGAAGAAAAGGATTAGTGCCTGGACACAAAGTGAAAACACACAGTACCCACCCAGGATCTCCTCTTTCTTTATTCTCCTGCCCACTCCACCACCCAGTCACGTGAGGAATGTCTATGGCACAGCAGGGGTCAGGCCTGCCAAGGCTCATCCATCCGCATTCAAGTAAACCGCAGTCTCAGGGTGAAGTCAGGACCCCATCACCAGAGCACGGAGAGGCTTGTGTTAGGGAAATTACCAGGGTGAGGAAGGCACTGTCAGGTGAGGACCACAGGTGCTTAAGGTAGGTCTGGAAGCCAGACAGACAGCAGAGCACATAGGGAAAGCAATGTGGAGACCAGATGGCCAAGGATCCTGGGGGTGGGGGAGTGGTCCTGAGGATGAGGGCAACGCAAACAGCTCAGCTGGATGATCCCAGCTCAGTGCTGCCGGCCTCCCCATCCAGGCACACACCGATGGCTACCCAAGGAACATCCAGTCATTCCACTACAGGACAGGCCTCCTCGGGTTGTATTGCTTTAACAGCCTCACTTTACAAAGCCTGTTTTCTTAAACATTCTGAGTTTGACTTGACTCCCAATCCCTGCTCGTCCCCCCACACCCTGGGGTGTCTGGGTATGTGCTGGGTGTGGGAGCTGGGGAGCATGTCATGCGTGACTCAGTCACTGGTGGCTGTGGTGGTGGTGGAGTGAGTGTACTGACAGCATGGTCGTGTAGCCTGGTTTCTTCTGCCAGAGCCGAGACAGCCCCAGGACTGAGGACCCCACAGGGGAGGGGTCATGGGGGAAGACGGAGAGGAACTGAGTGAGGCAGAGAAGGCTGGTGAAGGAGGTGTTGGACAGAGGTGTGCTCAGCACGAGTCGGAAAGGACCTGAAGCTGCAGACACGCAGCCTGCGTGATGAACAGCAGACCCTGCGGTCTCCCAGCTAGGCTTGCCGCTGAATCCTTGCTGCAGCTTCCACAGAAACAGTAAAAATGAGACATCTGGAAGGCTGCTCTCAAAGACGATGGACAGCAGAGTCAGGAGGACATAAAACTGAACTCAGAGATACAGGGTTGAGGGCACCATTGCCCAGGGCCGCCTCACAACAGGACAAGATGTCTCAGAGTGCCAGGCCACCTGGTCTGCCCCCCTCCCTGGCAGAGAGCTACAGGGCCCCCTGGCAACAGGACAGGAGCGGCCAGGCCACCTGCTGGCCCCTGGGAACCAGAGTCAGCACACTCTTCCACTTAACCACACACGCTTGCTTCCGGTGCCCCGGGACAGAGAGCACGTGGTGTCGGGGCAGGGCTCTGGGTTTGGCTTCTTTCCTGAAGGAGAACCTGGGGTGCTTCTAGGTGCCACATGTACGTGGGTGTGTCTGCACGTGTCTGTGTCTCTTATTACTATAATGTGTGTTCACTGGAGAAAATCTGGAAAATATCAAAAGTTAAAGATCAAATCCCTGACAAGACCGTTAATCAGAGATGACTTGTTGCTTTTCATTTATTTACAATACTTGTGTGTCATATACACGCTCATAAGAGAAATATTACATTTGCATAATACTTTAGACAACTGGATTATATAATGAAATTTAGATCCTGCCTCTCCCCTTGCCATAGATATTCTGCAGCGTGAACAGCGCAGACAGCGCCTGGGGCATGGGGCCCTTCCCTCACTGTGAGCAACCAGGAAATGAGCATCTTACATATAAACTTCTACATACCACAAAGTGATCCATTCATATACAATGCATAAATCCACAAACTATCATAAAAGCATTTCAGAATTTAGGAAACTATAGAAAAGATAAGATACAGTTTTATTAAAATCTTATAAAAATATTTGATTGTATAAAATCACATAATGACTTGGATTTGTTCAATGGTTTGTTCCATTATAGAAAAAACATGGTAAATAGAACTAGATTAATTAGTTTATCTCTAAGTGCCATTTCAGGACATGCTTTCCCTAGAAAGTAGCTTCCGGACACTGTGGGACCATCTGGAGCGATGAGCTGGGCCGGTGGGCAGAGCTGAGCGTGGCGCTGTGGTCAGGGGCAGAGCTGAACGTGGCGCTGTGGTCAGGGGCAGAGCTGAACGTGGCGCTGCGGTCAGGTGCCTGCAGCCAAGGCCAGCAGGGTCGGGCAGAGCTGAGCGTGGCGCTGCGGTCAGGGGCAGAGCTGAGCGTGGCGCTGTGGTCAGGCGCCCGCAGCCAAGGCCAGCAGGGTCGGGCAGAGCTGAGCGTGGCGCTGCGGTCAGGGGCAGAGCTGAGCGTGGCGCTGTGGTCAGGCACCCGCAGCCAAGGCCAGCAGGGTCGGGCAGAGCTGAGCGTGGCGCTGTGGTCAGGCACCCGCAGCCAAGGCCAGCAGGGTCGCAGCGAGCAGGGTGACACTTTGATCTGCAGGAAGAGATGAGATGCCTCTCCGAGCAGACACTGCCGCCCTGCAAATTTTAGAAAGGCCAAAAATAATATTAATAAGAAGTCAGTATTGGTATCGAGTCCCTATTTTCAAAACACACGTGCACACAGACTATAACAGCAAATAGTACGCGAAGTTACAAAGCAACAATCAAGTCCCCAGTGCCCATTCCCGCTCTCCATCGAGAAGCACTGTCGCAATGCCAGTCGGCCTTCCAGGAACGCGATGCACGCGCCAAGTGAGCACAGGGGACTCTTGGCTTTGGCTTCGTGTAAGTGCAGCTTCTTTCCCTACCTGACCCAGGGACCCTCCACTGTGGCACGTGTGAAGTGAATTCCTTCTTCCCATGGGTAAATCCGCGTTATACAGATGCACAGTGCTGACCGCGAGCCCTAATATCAAGAGGAATTCTACATCAAGGGTTTAGCTGGCGCAGAAAATCCGCCTGACAGAAAATACTGACACACAGTCTGGCCAAACAGGAACACTGTTCATAGACAGTAATGTTTGACTGCTGCGCTTTTTTGAAACAGATTACTGATTTTTTTTTTTTTATATAGTCCTTGGTGCCCGTACTGATGGTCCTTGGTGAGGATCCAGGAGTCTTCAGGGTTGGGATACAAGCTTCCTCCTGTCCCCCTGCTCCATTCTGAGCCACGTCCCCCACTCTGTACATATGACCTCCTGTTGAGAGGTTGCCAGGATTGCCCTTGATTCCCGCTGTATGTCTTTATAGTTTTGCTACTGTCTAATGCTGATTCAAGACTGTTGTCTATAAGTTATCTGTTATGTTCTTGATAGGTTATACTTCACGTCTTCCGCACACATTCTAAGGACATGGAAGATTTCTCTGCTCTCCCGCCCCATTACCGAGTAGCATAGGGTCTTAAAAGTGTATTAGGTTTTACAATTCTTTGACATAGATCATAAGCAGTCTGACTCACATTGATTGTTGGTTCATTGGTCACATCACAATATCTTATTGCATGGATACAGGCTGTTTGAGGTTAAAGTAGTATTACACTATTCAGGTACTATTTTCAGATTGACATCCTTTCATCTCATATTAAGGCAAACCTGCGGTATTTAACCTTTTGGGATTGGTTCATTTCTCTTAGCATAATGGCTTCCAGTTGGGCCCATTCGGTCACAAAAAACTGCATTTTTTTTTTTTAATAGCTGAGTAGTATTCGATGGAATAGATGAACCATAGCTCTCTTATGCAGTCTTCTGTTGATGGGCATTTCGGCTGCTTCCAATTTTTTGAAATATTTTTTAAAGTCTAAAGTTTATTTATTTATCATATACACAAGTCTTGTGTGAGAACTGAGAAAATGTTATTTACATAAATAAAATTTTAAATAGCAATTCAAACTCAGAAATTCCATTATCTAATGTTGGTTTGCAAATAATACCAAAAACACTTGACTACTAGCCAGTTCTTTTTGAAAAATAATTTCTACTGCAATAAAGAGAACGGATTTCATGTGTTGCACAGATACAAGACTATTCTGAAAAGTTTCAAGCTACCTTTAAAGTGTGGTTTGGCACATAAACTTGTGTTAGAGCGCCACCTGCTGGACATGTGTCACAATTGCACTTCAGTTAATTCACAGCCAACTCAGCAAAATTGCTAATTTTGTTTTAAATAACAACATAAAGATATGTTTATTTTATTTTAATCTACACATAGTAACTTTATGTGTTTCAATATCTATATACAACATGTAATTTAGGGATAGTTGGCGCACCCAGCCACTCAAGTATTTACTGCTCCTTTATGTTAGGGATATTCAAAACCCTCCCACTGGCTGTTTTGAAACAGACGTTAAGAACGCAACAGAGAGCTAAGCAAGCAGTCATGAGAGCCTGCCTGCATCCTTCCTAGTCTCCATCTTCCGGACAGGTAGCCAGGGTTTGGACAGCCCTTCAGAGCAGCCCCATCACGTACATCCGTCTTTGTGCTCAAACAGAAACGCGCAGCGATGTCCGTGTTCTAACCACGTCACTGTCACATTCTCATCTGAAAGCGTTCCTCGTTGATGTGAGGTTGTCCTGGACGGTAGCTTTTTTAATGCACTATTTGCAGTTATTTGGTTTCAAAAAATCATATTTTAAAAATTGTACAGATTCTTAAAAACCTAACTTTCCTGTACACATTTCTGTTTAACTCATGAATTGCTTTGTGCTTGAAAAACTAACAAAAGCATATACTTTTTTTTTTTAAGATTTATTTATTTTTATTGGAAGGTCAGATATACAGAGAGGAGGAGAGACAGAGAGGAAGATCTTCTGTCCGATGATTCACTCCCCAAGCGACCACAATGCCCGGTGCTGCGCCAATCTGGAGCCAGGAACTTCCTCCAGGTCTCCCATGTGGGTGCAGGGTCCCAAGTCGTTCGGCCATCCTTGACTGCTTTTCCAGGCCACACTCAGGGAGCTGAATGGGAAGTGGAGCTGCTGGGATTAGAACCCGCGCCCATATGGGATCCCAGAGCATTCAAGGCGAGGACTTTAGCCACTAGGCCACCGCACCGGGCCCCAAAAGCACATACTTTTCAAAACTTTTTTTTTTATATTTGAACTGAGACTTACAGAAGGAAACAGACACAGAAAGCCCCATCTGTGGACTCCCCAAATGCTGCCAAGAGCTGTGTGTGGGCAGAGAGGCTGGCTGCAGGGACAGGGGAGGCGGCAGGGACGGGGGAGGATGGGAAGGAGTTCAGTCTAGGTCTTCCATATGTGTGGCAGGAATCGAACTACTTGAGCCGCCAGCTGCATTAGCTGGAAGCTGGCATCAGGAGCTAGAGCCACCAAGCAGACCCAGGCCCCCCGACCCAGGTCACGGCTGTCCTTAGCACTAGGCCAGACACCTTCCCTCTCTTCACATTGCCTTAATTCCTTTGAATGTTCTAGGGCCATTATTCTAGGTTAAATCATGTTACATTTAAAATGTTACATTTAAAATATTTTGAAATGATATTATTTTTAAAGTATTTGTTGATGTATCATTCGAAAAACAGATTTAGAGAGAGAAGGAGAGAGAGTTTCCATTGACTGGCTCACTCCCCAGGTGGCCCCAAACGGCCACTGGCTCATTCTCCAAATGGCTCCTGGCTGACCCGAAGCCAGCAGCCAGCAGCTTCTTCTGGGTCTCCCCCGTGTTTGCATATTAAAAGTGTACTCCACAGATTAATACACCTGTACCAGCGAAAGCCTGTGGAGAGGGTGGTGCCCCCACGGCCACGGCGAGAGATCTGACGGTCAGCCCCCGACACTCCCTGACAGACTGCGTCCTTCTTTCAGTAATGTCTGCCTTCCGTGCCCACCGATCCTGCAGATGTGCCCAACACCGTAACAGATAAACGCGGCACACTGCAGTACAGGCACGTAAGGTTGCCGTCCGTCACACAGATGGTTCATGGAACCGCTCCTCATCGCTGTGTCTTGGATGGCGACATTCTACTCCATCCGTAAGCACACCCACTGATGTAGCCACACACCTGTCAGCGGATAATAAGGTCCAGTTGCCAATGTTCCAGTTCTGTAAATAATGTCCTGGAAAGCATATCTGCAGCAGATTTTAAATAATTTCTTTAGGAAAGAGTACCAAAAGTATCCTACGGCTTGACTTGGCTCAAAGAGTATGAATATTTTTATAATTTCTGACACATATGGCCAATTGCTTTCCCAAAGCACCTTAGCAATTTACAGTGACACTAGACACTAAATAACATCTCCAAAAGATGTCCTGTCATTGTGTCCCCAGGAAGCTGGTAAATGATGATTCAAGGGCCCGGAGGCATGGCCTAGTGGCTAAGGACCTCACCTTGAATGCTCCGGGATCCCATATGGGCGCGGGTTCTAATCCCAGCAGCTCCATTTCCCATCCAGTTTTCTGCTTGTGGCCTGGGAAAGCAGTCGAGGACGGCCCAAGGCCTTGGGACTCTGCATCCACATGGGAGACCTCGAGAAAGAGGTTCTCGGTTCCCGGCTTCAGGTTGGCGCAATATCAGCCATTGAGCTCACTTGGGGAGTGAATCACTGGACGGAAGATCTTCCTCTCTGTCTCTCCTCCTCTCTGTATATCTGACTTTGTAATAAAAAATAAATAAATCTTAAAAAAAAAGAAAAGATAATTGAAGCACTCCGTGAGGAGTCCCAGGCTGAGCTCCCGGGCCAGGATTTTGGCCTGAATCAGGACAGTATGCACCTCTCAGGACAGAGGCAATCGCGCGTTCCTTTGTTCACTCACTGACTGGTGTTAACATGCTTGGTTTCTGACGATGCAGCAGTAGGCGAGCAGCACTGGCCCAGGCCCTGCCCTTCCAGAGCCCACATCTGAACAAGTGAGACTCCGGCAGAAAAAGGCAGTGAGAAGACAAGCAGGAAATACTTGAGCAGCACGAGGGAGGGGCGTGCAGAGCTGCAGCCCCCAAACTGGTTTTCCTACTTACAACTTGCTGAATTCTGCATGTGGTGCAAGGATAAAATAAAAAGGGATTTCAGGGTAAAACCTGAAGGGATAGGAAAAGAAGGCAGACAGCGTGGGAAGTATCATTGAGCTCTTACATCTGTACTTAGGAAATAGAAGAAATTGGCTCACCTATGTGAAGAAAATATACTTTTATAAAAACAGCCTAAAATGGGCCTAGTGCAGTAGCTTAGTGGCTAAAGTCCTTGACTTTCACGCGCCGGATGACCCAAGACCTTGGGATCCTGCACCCACATGGGAGACCCGGAAGAGGCTCCTGGCTTTGGATCGGCTTGGCTCCAGACGTGGCAGCCTCTTGGGGAGTGAATCACCGGACGGAAGATCTTCCCATCTCTTCTCCTGTCTGTATATCTGACTTTCCAATAAAACAAATTAATAAATAAAATAATAAAACCAGCCTAAAGTGATGGCTTCCGGTGAGAGGAAGTTGGTGACATTTTCAGAGAGGGAATGAGAAGCCAGCAGGCCGGGCTGGCAGCAGGGGAATCTGGAGGGCTGCGAGAATCAGGAATGTGAGGGCAGACTTCGTTTTCAGAACAGCAGGTCCATACACTATGCCTTAAGTGTTATCTGGGATCTCAGGCCCGCATGCCAGATTCACAGAGCGGGGCCAGCAGAGTGGGGCCAGCAAAGCGGGGGCAGCAGAGCGGGGCAGCAGGGCAGGGCAGCAAGGCGGGGCCAGCAGAGCGGAAAGCAGAGCGGGGCCAGCAGAGCGGGGCAGCAGAGCGGGGGCAGCAGATCGGGGGCAGCAGGGCGGGGCAGCAAAGCGGGGGCAGCAGGGCGGGGGCAGCAGAGCGGGGCCAGCAGAGTGGGGCCAGCAAAGCGGGGGCAGCAGAGCGGGGGCAGCAGAGCGAGGGCAGCAGGGCGGGGCAGCAGGGCAGGGCAGCAGCTCAGATCATCACCAAACCTTGGGCTGCCAGCGCACACCCTGTGACTGGCATGTCGTGTTTACTCCTTTCAAGTGCTTAACCCGCAAACCTGCACACGTCAGCTGGCCACAGCGGGAAGGCAGCAATGCGATGCGCACAGCATCCACAGACTCAACTAAAATTCGAGGGTTGGATTAATTTCCTTTTGGAAATATATCAAAATTTGGCCAAATAAGGACAGCATTGTAGCATAGCAACTAAGCTTCTACTGGCATCCCATACGGGTATTATTCCTGTCCTGGCTGATCAGCTTTCAGTCCACTCCCCGATAACGTGCCTGAAAAAGCAACAAAACATGGCCCAAGTGATCGGGTCCCTGTCCCCACATGGAAGGCATGGAAGAAGTTCCTCACTCTGGCTTCAGTCTGACCCAGCCCAGGGTGTTATAGCCATTTACGGAGTGAACCCCTCTCTGTGTAACTCTTTCAAATAAATAAATTAATTAATATATGAATAAATCTTTTTTTTAATTGGCATGGGGCATGGCGCAGTAGCCTAGTGGTTAAAGTCTTCACCTTGCATGCACTAGGATCCCAGGTTCTAATCCCAGTGACCTGGCTTCATATCCAACTCCCTGCTTGTGACCTGGGAAAGCAATCAAGGACAGCCCAAAGCCTTGGGACTCTGCACCCATGTGGGAGACCTGGAGGAAGCTCCTGAAGCCGGGCTCCTGGCTTTGGATCAGCCCCTTGGGGAGTGAACCAACGGATGGAAGACCTTCCTCTCTGTTCCTCCTCCACTCTATACATCTGACTTTCCAATAAAATAAGGTTTGTGGAGTGGATTGGTGAATGGAGGACTCTGTCTCTCCTCCTCTCTGTATATCTTACCTTCTAATGAAAACAAAATAAATCTTTAAAAAAAACAATAAATAAATCTTTTTTTAAAATTGGCAGATTCTGTTATAATTCTAGATTCTGCACATACATCCTTCAGCCATGCAACTCTACTTCTGCTCATGCATCCCACAAATACTTGCATAAGATCTCAAGATTTATACTTTAGCACTATTTATAAAAACAATATCATTATGCAATAGCCTACAGCTAACATTGGCAGTGCAGTCACTGGTACTCTGCGCCAGGACAACACTAGGACAAAGGGCGTTAGCTGGCTGGAAGCGTGACGCCATTATACTGCTAAGTGAAGAGACGCCCACCATGAGCCTGTTGTGCAGCATGACTGCTTCTTGCACCAAAACAAAGAACAAACCAAAATCAAATGAACAGACGTCGGACACTGGTAACGTAAGAGTGACATTTGTGCTTCGAAAACTGAGGTGAAAAGAGGGATCAAATTGTTAAGAGAAATGGCTTTGAAGGCATGGGCATCCCCGGGGTCAGCACTGTGGCACAGTGCGTTCAACCACAGCCAGTGTGCTGGCACTCCATAAGGGTGCTGGTTTGAGTCCTAACCATTTCACACCTGATCCAGCTCTCTGCTAATGGTCTGAGAAGGCAGAAGACGACCCAAATGCTTGAGTGTCTGCCACACACATGGGAGATGTGTAAGAAACTCCTGGCTCCCAGCTTCAGCCTGGCTCAGCTTTGGCTGCTGGGGCCATCTGGGGAATCACCAGATGAAAGACTTCTGCCTGCCTCACTCTCTATTTATCTCTCTCTCTCTCTCCCTCTCTCTCTCTTACTCTGCCTTTCAAATAAATAAATCTTTTTTAAAATGGGCATTCTCTTCTTCACTGCTGTGACTAAATATGGGAGCAACTCAGATACCACCTCTCGGTGCCGGGGTTAAGTCGCAGGCTCGCACAGACCATCACAGCAGTGTCAAGCAGAATGGGGAGCGCCATCAATGGAAGCATTCTCCGTATCTGAGCATGGCAGGCCACGGGTAAGGCAGATGAGGCAGTTCTCTCTGTGCTGGCTCAGCTCACGTGGCATCCACAGTGAGGCAAGCAGTCCACGGGTAAGGGAGATGAGGCAGTTCTCTCTGTGCTGGCTCAGCTCACGTGGCATCCACAGTGAGGCAAGCAGGCCACGGGTAAGGGAGATGAGGCAGTTCTCTCTGTGCTGGCTCAGCTCACGTGGCATCCACAGTGAGGCAAGCAGCAGGAGCTCCTCTTTACAGGTCGAACAACAGTCCACATTCCCTGCATCCATTCATCTCCCAATGGGCAGCTATGCTGTTTCCGTACCTTGACTATTATGGGTAACACCACAACGACAAATACACAGAAACAGAGCATAAAGCAGCGGCCTTCATACAGGGAGAGGGAAGAAGCAATGGGAAAGATTTAGGCCAAAGGATTCAAAACAGCAGACGTGTGAGACAAGCTTAGAGATCTAATGCACAACATGAAGATTAAGGTTAATGTAAAGGAACTGAATGACAAAAATAGAGAATGGAGAGTTATTCACTGTCTCTATCATTTTTTTAATTCTGAATTTTGTCCGATGCAAACATGTTACTGCTTCAATAAATTAACTGGAAATTTTAATTAAAGCTAAGAAGCAAATGTTGGGTTGGTTTTGTGGCATAGTGGGTAAAGCCACCTCCTGCAATGCCAGCATCCCATGTGGTGTCATGTTTGAGCTGGGGCTGCTCCACTTCCAACCTAACTTCCTGTTAATAGCCTGGGAAAACAGCAGAAGAAGCCAAGTGTTTGGCCCTGAGACCCACATAGGAAACCAGGCACGAAGCTTCTGGCTCCTGGCTTCTGCAGGTTCAGCTCCGACTGTTGCAGCCATGTGGGGAGTGAACAGGTGGATGTGGGGTCGCTCACTCACTATTTCTCCCTCTCTATCTGTAATTCTGGCTTTCAAATAAATATATCTTTAGGGAAAAAAAGAAAGACAAAGGTATGAATAGATATTTTTAAAGCAAAATGGCATAAATGTTAAAAATGCTGATGCTGCCAAAGTAAGCGCTACACAACAGAGGGTCCCGCCTCCTGAGCTCCGCAGCACCCCGCAGATCTGCTTGACCTGCTCCTGCCGGGAGCTCAGAGAGCAGGAGCGAGGCCCAGTGCAGACTGGGAAGCAGGATCCTGACTCAGTGATTCAGGGTTTGTATGTAAAATCATACTGCAATTCACCCAGGTGCCATGATACTGTGGACTGGTTATCTTGGAAGGAAAAAAAGGAAATGTGGCTTAAGGCATTTACTTACGAATTTAAGGCGCAGTCAGGATGAGAGCTGTGGTCCACACACATTAAGAGTTTCACCGGCCTACAGAGAGAAAACAGTGAGGGGATTGTTCAAACCATTATCATTTATCAAACATGTATGATATGTGGCAGTCCCGGAGACACAAACTCTCTGCTCTTGAAAAATTACACAAACCTTTTATGTTCAAAATATTTGCCAGCATTACTAAGCACTTACTCCATGCCAAGAAATGAGACTATGTGTTTTACATCTAGCAGGTCACTTAATATAGCGGGAAATGGCAACGTACTATTTTCATGTGCAATTTGCAACTGAGACCACTGGTTCTCAAAGCACTCGGTTCTGGAGTTGAACTTTTCAGGCTGAGCCTGAGCCTGTGGTCTCTTCTGTATGCAGGAGTGACTTTGGAAAAAATCTTTGATGAATACTTTGGACTGAAGGTTGGACCTGAGACATGTGGGTGATGCGAGTGTTCAGGCTTCCGTGGAACAAGCTCAACTGATGTGAGGGCAAGGGCAGCCTGAGCAGAGAGAGGAGAGCAGTGCCAGGAAAGGGGACCACACCAGCCGGGCAGTTAGGTAGGAGGCAGTCAGACAGGGTGGCCACAGGGGACTCCGGATGAACAGGACAGTCACGCTGTCTACTCTGCACCTGGCTACCTGATCCCCTCTGGTCTTGCCCACTGTTTGGTAAAATCTACTCGTGCACATACAGGTGGTTTCTGTGAGAGTCGTGTGCTGTTCCAAGCCCTCCTCTCAGTGCGACTTCATACAGAACCAGCAGAAAACAGCGAGCGGGAAAGAGAGGCAATGAAATCCAGCCCCGCTCAAATTTGCCAGTCTGGATCGGGGAGAACTCTCCGCTGGCCAGGACAGAAGGAAAGGCCGCCTGATTTTTGACAGCCAGGTTCTTACATCTTGGTTGAGTTTGATTTGTTAACTTTTGTCACTTTCCTATATCATATATTTTATTAGATGCTCTTGTATCCCAAGGAACAATGCCCAAAAGCAAACAACAACAACAAAATCCTCTTTAAGACAGAAAGAACCTAAGGATAGTAGTTAGGGGAAACTGAGCCAGGCTTGGATGAGAAGATATGAGAACAGTCCTGTGGCCGTCTTGGATGAAGGGAAACGGACAAGCCCAGAGAGGAGGGTATACAGGCTATAACCCAGGGTACCCGTGAAGGGCAGGCACTCTTCGCCCTCCAGCCTGACAACTACTACCAGAACTATCAGCTGCTGATGAGAGAAGATCCTTTTGAACTAGAACAAAGTAGCCGTAAATATGGTAATTCAGCCAGAATTTCATCCACTATTGAGAGATTTTAGAGTAAAAATTCCTTTTATAAACAGTTTTAGGGCTAGAGTGCTGTGGCATGGCACATTAAGCTGTCTCTTTCAGTGCCAGCATCAAATCTGGACACCAGTTTGAATCCCAGCTTCTTCACTTCCAATCCAGTTCCTTGCAAATGCATTTGGGAAAGCGGTAGAGGCCCTGGGCCCTGCCACCCACATGGGAGACCAAGAAGCTCCAGGTCCCCAGCGTGGTTGGCCTACTCCCAGCCAGCCATTACGAACAAGCAGATGAGCAATTCTCTCTCTCTCTTTCTCTCTCCATTTCCATTTTTCCTTCTGTGTGTAACTCTGCCTTTCAAGTAAAATAAAATAAATCTTTATTTTTTTTTCAGGTAGGGTTAGAAAGGAAGGAAGGAGGAACATGGTAATGAAGGATACAGCCTGTGCAGCTGGGTTCAAAATTCAGCCAGTGACTGAGTGCGAGCCTTGTGCACCGAGTTAACCTGTCCATCTATAAAATCTTATCTTTACATAGCAGAAAAGACAAAACAAGCTGGTGAATTCATCCGGAGAGTGGCCACTACGGGCGTGGTGACAGAGAGGAGGCTCTGGGTGCCGCTCGAGCTGTGTGTTGTCTGAGTATTCCTGCGTGCACACCCCAAACTTCTGAACATTCTTCCACATGCACTTAGGGCTTGGTTATTTCTCCATGCATAATTTACAGTGCAAGAGAGGGTATCTGTTTTATGGCAAAAAGGGGATGATAACATCTAATTTTTGGGTTCTTGAGAACAGTAAAACAGTGTAAGAAAAATGGCATGGGAACGTTTTGAAGGGCTTCATCTGTTGAGGGGTTGTGGGGTGGGAGATGGTGGTCCTCCTTTCACAGGGTTTGCTCATCCTGTGGAACTTTCAGGAAGACAGAAGGTGGCCCAGCAAGTAGGAAGCCCATTGGTGTTGGGAAAGAAGATGCTAACGGAGCGTCCACCTTGTTACACCCACAAACATTCAATAAGCAAGCTAGTTCTTGCAGTGACGAACTCAAGCCCCTCAGGAATGAACAGGCCCACAGACAGGGGCCCGGCAGAGAGGGGTGGAAGCAGAAAGTCAGGGTCCCGGAGAGGTCTAACAACTATCCCAGGGATTCCCTCAGGTTTATCCAAATTCCCAAGAAGCAGAAAGGCCACCAAGTGATTCCTGAGTGTAAGAACATAAAGCACTCAGCCCATATCGCACTCCATACAGGGCAGCTATTATTATGGTCAAGAGGTATCTGTCTGTAAGCATCTCAGTCAAGTTCCCAACTCTGGCCCCTGACTCCAGCTTCCTGCTACTGCAGACTCCAGGACACAGCATTAATAGCTCAAGTAATTGGGTTGCTGCCACCGACATGAGAGATCTAGACTGAGTTCCTGGCTTCCCGTCTAGGCCATGCCCAACTCACCACCACTTAGACATTCACGAGGTGGGCCAGTAGATGAAAGCTCTCACTCTCCATGTTTCCAATAAACAAACAAAAAAATACGATTAAAAAAGAAACTGGACATGAGCAACTGGTTAAGTGCTGTGCTGCATGTAATTTAAATATCATTTAAATGGACTTAATACAAGTGATGAGGGCCCAGGAAGAACTCCAAGAAGAAGGCAACCCCCTAGCTTCACATCCAGTGACAACTCAGAAGACACAGGGCCTTCGAGTCCGATAACAGAAAAACCCCCTCCCAGCTAGCTGTGCAGTGACGTTCCTGCAGCTCACACTAGGGTCCCTGGGTCTGAGCCTCAGCTGTGCTAAGGTCACAGTATGCTGCTAAGGCACACACTGGCGGCAGGGCCCACATCAAAGATGCAGAGTGAGTTAACTGGCATCTGACTTCAGCTTGATCCAGCCCTGGCCACGGTGGGAACTCTCTCTTCCTCTCAAATACACGAATTATAAATAAACAAATCTTTGAAAGCAAAAGTACCTGTCCCCACCAACACACACACACACACACACACACACACACACACACACACACACACACACACACTCCAAACCAACATTCCACCGTTGAGCTTGCACAGTGATTACAGGCAGCACCTACAGGTAGTCGTTAACACAGCTGTACTGGAACCCCAAGGCCTTCAGTCTGTCCTCCAGGATTTTCACAGTGCCCTCTCCACAGGATTCCCTAGGACATAAAAAATCCATTTTTAAAATAAGTGAGAGGAGGAGAAGATTAAAATTTCTTCTGACCACATGTGTGCCCAGACATTCCTAACCTCAGAGGGAACATGACCAAGTGAGGGAAGGCATCTGGCCCAGAAGCAGGGAAGCCTGCAGTGTCCGGAACGGGGCTCCCAGGACACAGCATCAAGTCTGAAGTGGTGAGGGCCACACACACGGGGGGTGGGGGAGTGGCTCACGGCAGCTGCACGTACACCGTGTCTGCCTCAGCGAAGAACCACCTCAACACGATGTATCTGTGTCGTGACCCAGGGATCTGGCCAACACTATCACCAACTTGTATAACCGACGGTACACTCGTTTTTAAACCTTACATAACAACAAAACAGGCCAACTGAAAAGAAATATCCTAGACAATGCAAATAAACAAAAGAAATAAAGTATCACAGAGCTCAACTCCCTACAGTTGGTTGCTGCTAATGTTTTCAAGCAAGGTCATCCTTCCTGTCTAGTTTTCTTTTCCACACTTTGCTCTCCACAGTCAACTACAGTCCAAACATTAAATGGAAGAATTACAAAATAATCAAGTCACAGGTTTTGAATCGGGCGGTGTTCTAAGAAACATGATGAAATCCCACACAGCCCTCTGGGGTTTTCAGATGAGACACCTGCTGGTGCAGCTTACCCATGCTGCGGACACAGCTGCCCATCAGTCATCTCAGGACCTGGTTAGGAGACTGGCGGCCAGAAATCCCAGTGCTTATGTTCAAATACACCTCACGGCTCCCAGATACAAGAGCAGCGACGCTGACAATTTGGATACACCCAAGAAAAGCCATCAAGTGACACCATTGGGTGCAAAGGTGAAAGTTCTCTAAGGAGAAAATGCTGTTGGTGTGCTAGGCTGTTACCGTGTTGCACACACACACGCGCCATTTTTCATTTTTGCATGATCTCCTTTGCAAAACATAAACAGACCATAACTCAGGCAACCAGCCACTGATCCTCACATTTCAACTTGACTTACACTGCAGCAGCCCATGCTTGAACTTCATTTTCGCACAGGTTCTTAATTGTTTCTTAGGCATCCATTCCTGCAGGTAAGTTCTCTGGCTTTGCGGCTTTGGACCCACCTTCAGGCTCCTCATACACATTGTCCTGTGGCACCCAGGTGACGTGTGAGAGCATCCTTTTCCCACACTCTCATCCACACTGGTTCATGCCCTCCTGATGGGCACAATTAGGTGGAGAGGACTGATAAAAGCAGACAGGGGTGGACACGACGCTGTCATCCGTGATTAGCAGGCAGCGTGTGCCTCTGGCAGTGGCACCGTGCCCGAACTCACCTGGGATGGGAAGGTGCTGCTGAGCAGGGCCTGTGCTACAGAACTGACAGAGAGGGAGTGCAGGCAAGAAGTGGGCAATCCGAAGAAGTGTCCGTAGCAGCAGAACTCCAGCCAGGAATGGGAGGGGCAAAATGTCGAGTTACAGCAGGTCATGGGCCTTCCCACTCTGCCAACTCTGGGTCACTACTCAGGAGGGCTGACTGCAGACGGGGTGCCTGGACCCTGAGCTGCCCGTGGCTTATGCCACCACGTCTTTAAAGGAATGCAGCCACAGGAGGCGCAGTACAATCAGGTATTAGCCATGGTTTTTAGCACTTTGCCAACCACGGCTTGTGACCCACGTAGACAGCCCAACTGTCACAATATGGAGCAGCTCATTACAGTGTCACTTCATTTTTTTGTGACATCAGCACCTAATATAATATAATGTTATCAACTGCAAGAAGTACTTCAAAAGTTCATGGAAACAGAATTAAAAGGTAAATTTATCTGGTTAAAAAAAAAAAACCATTGAACTTTGTGCGTTCAAGGAGTCTTCAAATATTCATGTGAAACTGGCTGTTATGAAAAAAAACTTCATGGATTTCAAAATTATTTGCACTAAAGTAAACTTTCTTTTAACTCTATTTTCTTACTTAATTTTTAAGTAATCTTAAGTAGTCCTCATGTATTCTTGTTAATCTGTGAGCAGCCCCAGACTCCGCTTTCTTGGCTCGAGACCTGTGACTGTAGCTTGTGGCTCCGGTGCATAGCCAGGCGTGCAGATCCTTTTTGTAACCTCTCCTGCACACAGCACGAAGGCTACAATGCCACTGAACTAGTTTCCTTCTGTCACTAAAAGCATGTTCAAAAGACAAGCTTTCCTTGATAACAAGTAAACAACACAACAAGTATAATTTGTCTTCCAGAAAGGGAGACACAGCTCTTAGGATAACTTAGGTAATAAGTGGTTTCAGGCTTACTATAAGCTGGTTTACATATACATATTTATTTATTTGAAAGGCAGAGTTACAGAAACAGAAAAGAAACAGGGGTGAGGTGAGAGAGCTCTTCCATTTATTGGTTCGCTCCCCAGTTGGCTGCGATGACTAGAGCCACACCACAGGGAAGCCAGAAGCCAAGAGCGTCAGCCCATCCCACCATGTGGGTGAAGGGGCCCAGGCCCTGAGCCTTCTTGCACTGCTTTCTCAGGGACACTATCAGGGAGTTGGATCTAATGTGGAGCAGCCAAGACTCGAACCAACGCCCATACAGGGTGCAGTTGCTATAAGATGGTGGTTTTACCTACTGTGCCACAGTGCCAGTCTCCTGTCCAAAAGGTAAACTTTTGTCCAAGAGACATACAGTGAAATTTAAATAATATCTATTGCTCACAAGACAGGAAAAAGTACTCCCATTATGTGGCAAGTCTTAGAGGGTTCTGGGGGCTGGCAACGGGAATTTATTGAAATTGTCCTGGACACACTTTCAAGGACACAGGGACACCTTAAGGTGGAAAGATGACATCAACCCCCTAAGGAACAAGGCGCCAGCTTGCCTGCGAAGCTGATTCAGCAGCCTGTATTTAACTAGGTTAGGGGCTCCTTGGCTTGTCTCTGAACAAATGGATTTACTTTTTTGAAACTGCATTTGTGCCAACAATACCCTTCTTCAGAGTGTTTTTGAGAAGTCAGAGTTTAAACTTGAATTAATATGTAAACCCAAGTGGTTTCCCAGAAAACAAAGGTCTTAAATGGTGTTGGCTTGGTCAATAATGTGGGACCCAGTTGTGCAGCTGGTTCTCCAAAGACAATGTCTTCAGCAGAGAGCTCCTGGCTTGGTGCCCAGAACTCTGCCAACAGCTTTCAGGCTTCAAATAACCACCAAGAGAAACTGACTTTGATCCGCACAGATGTCTAAGATCCTCACATCCCCAAGCTGCCCAGGGAACTCAACAATCACCATTGTCTCTGGCTGAGTTCTCTCCCTGACTAATGTCTTTCCCACAATGTAAAGCCTGTGTCTTTCTCAACCGAAGACCTTAGCAGCAGAGGCGACCACGGTCGACACTGTGGTACAGTGGGGGAGGCCATACCCTGCCATGCCAGCATCCCACATGGGCAGCAGTTCAAGTGCTGGCTGTTCCACTTCTGATCCAGCTCCCTGCCAATGCACCAGTCATAACAGCAGGAAATGGCCCAAGTGCTTGGGCCTCTGCACTCATATTAGATAACAGAAAGAAGCTCCTGGCTCCTGGCCTCAGTCTGGCTTGCAGTCTTTTGGGGAGTAAACAGCAGATGCAGGATTGATATTGTTTCTATCTCCTTCCCCTCCTTCTCTGTAATAACCATGCCTTTCAAATCAATAAAATAAATACTTTACTTAAAAAGCAGAGAAGACATCATTTCTCCAAAACTGAGAAATGTGAACTCTTGATCATATCATACCCAAGAAAAGCACAGCTGTTTTTTACCATCATGGGTAGTAACATAACTTACACTTTGGGTAACCCAATATCGTGCATGACCCAGATCTCAATTCGTGTGATTTTATCCTTCTGGAGGTATGGAATTTCAAAATCTGCAAAAAAACTGAGACAGAGGGAGGATATTTTTAAAGTCCTAAAACAACACAATAATTTGTTGCACATTATTTCACTCTATTTATATATTAGTTTTTGACAAAGTTTTTGGGGATGTTTATTATCTTTTGATTTTAGGTTGCTTATTTCATTTATGTAATTATCAGTTGTTAATGGATAAACTATACATGGCTCTGGTCACCTGCACCTACAAGAGGAAGCATCAGAGGGTGGTTAGAACCACTCTCCTTGGCCTCCATTCCAAACAACTGAGCAGTGGGTGTGTTGATGCAGTTCTTACCCTTTGACGGGAAAGGCTCCTTTGGGCTCTGAACCGTTAAGCATCACATAGATTACCCCAGAACTATCCGTGGAATACTGCCAAAAAAAAAAAAACACAAGCATTTTGAGCAACTAAGACATATCATTTTTCTGCTATGAAATGAAATTTTTAATGGACAATTTCCAGTACCTGTGAGGATAGGGTAAAATTAGTATATTCTATGGCTTGGAGGGATGTAAGCGGGCTGACTTTGGGAAGCAAAGCTTCAAAATGTTGAAAAATTATATCCAGCATTTCTGTGTCTGGAATAGCACGTGATGACACTACAGCAAAGTAGGTTAAGGCAGAAGAAGACACATCAGCATCCCAAATGAGTGGGCACTGGTTGGGGCCCCAGCTGCTCCACTTCCAGTCCGACTTCCTGATAATGTGTTTGGAAAAAAAGCAGAGGGTGGCCTGAGTGCCTGGACCTCTGCTACTGCATGGGAATCCCAAAGAGAATTCCAGACTCCTGGCTTTGCCCTGGCCTAGCCCTAGTCACTGGGGTCATTAGGAAAGTGAGTCAGCAGATGACACATTCTCTCTCTCTCACTCTCTCTCTCTCTCTCTTCTCTGTCCTCTCTCTCTCCAGTTCAAATGAATAAGAAAATCTTTGGAGAAAAAAAGATGGCACTAAGCATGCAGCACTGCTTCATCACTATACAAACAGAAGCCAGTGCACACCGCCAAGTCCACGGAGGTTCTGCTTCTGTCTTCTCATCCTAACAATCACATTGAGCAAGTGTCCCCATCTGCACAGTTGCTGGTTTTCAGGGAGGCAAAAAGGGAAATAACAGGCTTTTTATTTTAAATATGTATATTTATTTAAAAGGGTGACAAGAAGAGAAAGAGAATGGGGACGATATGTCCCGTTCATCCCTCCTCTGGTTCATTCACAAATGATTCTGATCTACGTGAGTCCAAGGCCAGCAGCCAGGAACTCTATTGGGTTTCCTATGTAGGTGGAAGGGACCCAAGTACTCAGCCCATCACCCAATGCTTTCCCAGGTACCTTCCATCAGAAGTGGGGCAGCAGGTGCTTAAATCAGTGCTCTGATGTGATGCTGATGCTCTAAGTAGCCTCTTCCTCACTGTACCATAACGGTGGCCCTACAGACCAATTCTTCAAGGCTTCCACTCAGAAGTCACACATGTCATCCTTCCTCACATGTGCCAGTGTGAGCACATGTAATGAAAAGAAACAGGGGACTCAGGAAAAGGTAAGAAAAGAAGACCACGGTACTGCACACAAAGATGTGTATCATCGTTGGGGTCCGTGTGAAGAGTATTGTTCCATTGCAGGCAGATCTGCAAGGAACTTCCCACTGTTTGGCAGGGCACGATGGACAGGGCACATCTCTACAACCACCTGAATGCAGCCCCACCTTCTTTTTTTTTTAAGATTTATTTTTATTATTTTTTTATTGGAAAGGCAGATATGCAGAGAGGAGAGACAGAGAGGAAAATCTTCCATCCGATGATTCACTCCCCAAGTAACTGCAATGGCCGATGCTATGCCGATCCGAAGCCAGGAGCCTCTTCCGGGTCTCCCACACGGGTGCAGGGTCCCAAAGCTTTGGGCCGTCCTTGACTGCTTTCCCAGGCCACAGGCAGGGAGCTGGAAAGGAAGCGGGGCTGCCAGGATAGAACCGGTGCCCATATGGGATCCTGGGCGTGCAAGGCAAGGACCTTAACCACTGCGCCACCGCGCCGGGCCCCCCACCTTCTTTTGCATGGACGCTGGACCACCCTGCGGAAGAATTCTAACCCATCCAGGCATTGTTTGCTACTGTGAGGCTGGCCTTTCACTCAATGTGAGCTTGGAGGTTAATGTCAATAATAACATCTTGCAAAAGGGCCTTCTATTATTCCTACTGTCTTGGCTGTCCCCATTGACCTTATGCTAACCAAAGGACCTGTATTTAGGGTTTCATTCTTTCCTCATTCTTTAGGTTCCCCTTTTCTTTGTGATACAAGATTGGGTTGTAGGATAAGAATTGTAGCAGGAATTTCTATTGTTTTTAGGTAAAACAAATGGCAGAATTATCCTTAGAAACACCCACTTGACCATGACGTAAAAAGTCTGAGCCAGAGTTTGACTGATTTTGTATAAATAAAGCGGACAGCTTTCATGCACTGTCCATTATGATCATGAAATCCTAGTGGTCTGTCTTTCCACCTTTCTTTCCTCTTTGCGCCTCATCCACGCACCCTTCGTGAGTTCCGAACAAAGCTGGAGATGGAATCCGGCATATCATTGTTCATAATATGCATAGCCTATTAGAGGTGACCTGACTTCACTCAGCAATAAAATGTCCCTTTAATTTGAAATATTAATAATAATAATATAGGAGAAATAAGGACTTATAATATATCCTCACCAATGGCCTGACCATTTACTAAATATTTCCTCTGTGCCAAACACTACATTAAATATGAGCATTCTGGGCCCGGCGCGGTGGCGCAAGTGGTTAAGGTCCTCCCGGGATCCCATATGGGCGCCGGTTCTAATCCCGGCGGCCCCTCTTCCTTTCCAGCTCCCTGCTTGTGGCCTGGGAGAGCAGTCAAGGACGGCCCAAAGCTTTGGGACCCTGCACCCGCGTGGGAGACCCGGAAGAGGCTCCTGGCTTCGGATCAGCATAGTATCGGCGGTTGCGCTCACTTGGGGAGTGAATCATCGGATGGAAGATGTTCCTCTCTGTCTCTCCTCTTCTCTCTGTATATCCGCCTTTCCAATAAAAAATAAAATAAATCTTTATAAAAAAAATATGAGCATTCTATATCCTTAAACTCTCACAGCTTTGTGAAGCAGAGAATGAGCCAGGATGTGTGAACACAGACAACGAGGCGCGGTGAAGTGACGCCATCACTGAGCATCCTCGTCTCTGGCCGCTCAGTCCTGTGTCCCAGGGCCCCACACACGCCCGGCCCCTGAGAACCACCACTGCCCGGGCTACCTGGATGGATGCCCTTTTCCAGTAGGAGTCCACAGGATTGTTCTCACAGTCTTCTGAGGAAGGGCAGGATTCATAATCAAGTCCTAAGGGGAGAAATGCACAGATCTCAGTCCCGAGATTCTAAGATATTTTCTGCAATCGCAAAACGTACTGAGCCCGAGCTCACCGCAGCATGTGCGTGTCTTACTAGCCCAGGCCCCACCTCCGTGAAGCAAAGGCATTTGCCCTTTTGCTCAGCACAGTGAGAGGAAGGCAGACTACCAGCAGAACACTGAGCGACTGTATGCTAACTGGGTTGTTTCTCAGCTGGAGCTCTGGGAAAGTGACATCTAAGAAGCCACAAGCAAAGGAGTAGCTTTGCTTTACAGGGAGAATATCCAATTGTTAGTCCTAGGCTTAAAAGTAAACATAAGAAAAACAGATCAAGAAATTGGTATTCCTTAACCAGCCAAATGGAAATTTTACAGTTAAAAGTATATGTTAAGGGCCCAGCACGGTGGCGCAGCGGTTAAGGTCCTCACCTTGCACCCCCGGGATCCCATATGGGCGCCGGTTCTAATCCCGGCAGCCCTGCTTCCCTTCCAGCTCCCTGCCTGTGGCCCGGGAAAGCAGTTGAGGATGGCCCAAGGCTTTGGGACCCTGCACCCGCGTGGGAGACCCGGAAGAAATTCCGTGTTCCTGGCATCGGATTGACTCAACTCTGGCCATTGCAGCCACTTGGGGAGTGAACCAGCAGACAGAAGATCTTCCTCTCTGTCTCTCCTCTCTTTATATCTGCCTTTCCAATAAAAAAATAATAATAATAATAAAAATAAAAATAAATCTTTTAAAAAAAAGTATGTTAAAATACATTAAAATTTTTTAAATTAAGGATACAATTCAGTAAATTGGTGGGATAGGAAATGTGCTTATAATTGACTTCACACAGAAAGGAGAAAAAGTCAACTGAAAAGTCATTCCAGCAAGTGTTCCCAACAGCACAGTCGTGTACTGCCTGGAGGAACACTGTGTTGCAGCGGCAGTGCAAATGTGCTGACACGCATATGTCACATACATCTTTCTAGATCAGTAACTCCAAGACCCCAACATCACTGTTAAGAGACCCTGTGGTATTCTAAGCTATGAACACTTCAATAAGCAAGCTGATCCAAACTATGGGTCCTCACTTCCTCCTTAAACGAAGATCTCTGATAGGATGGCACAAAGAAAAACCAGAGGAAAAATAACCTATGCTTTTCTGGAAAACTCTTAACTGTCTTCATACTCTTTCCATCACTTCTTCCCTCCATTCCCCCAACCCCCAGCAGGCTAAACAAACTGAGGCTTCCTGGTCACTCTCTACCAGACCAATGGTCAAGACCCCTATGACCTGCACCTGACAATACCTCCTGTCTTAACTCACAGGAGAGTGACTCCTCACGAAGTCCAGTGCTACCTGGCCCTCCTTGATTCCTCCGGCCTCACAGCCACTCCTCTCCCCATCACTCACTACCTGCCTCCAGAGCCATTGATCAAATACAGCAGACCCACTCACACCTGTGTTTGCACTTACTGTTGTCCCTCTCAGGAGATGCTCTCTCTCTCATTTGTTCAGATCCTTGCTCAAATAATAATTGGTCGTTGAGGTTTCCCCATAGCACTTAGGTAAAACTGAGACACTTCCCTTTGTCCTGACACCAGGTATCTCCTATCCTTTTTCACTATTTTATATCCATAGACCTTATAGTCTTGGGACAGATTATATATATTCTACTTGCCTGTTTATCTCCCTTCCGTAAGGATGGGGTACCATTTTCTTGGTTCATTCTCAGCGTTGTTTCCACTGTCTTGAAGAGCAGAGCCTGACACCTGGTAGGTACTCTATGAATTGCACTTAGGTGCACAAATGGATGGAATAAGCAGGAGACATGCAAGGTGAATTCTTAGAGTGCATCTTCCATGCAGCCTTCTCAGGTCTGCCCGGTGCTCTGGCAAGGCTGCTGCGCTGTAGCACCCAGTCCTTCCTGCTGCAGGGCACTCCGCATTCCTGGAGAAGCCCCTCCAAGGCTAGAAGCTCCCTAAAGGCAGAGAGGATGGAGTCACCAACCCCTAGCTCCTAGCTGGATGATCAGGAGTGCTTTCAGTACTGTCAGGCCAGCTCTTGCAGTTTTCATCTTGAAATATCTGAGCAGTCTTTAATATCACAGGCTTTGGAATCTACTAGAACATGGGCAGATTTTGATCCTAACACTTGCACTCTTGGCTTCTCTACTCTGGGAAATGAGAATAGTAGTTACGTTGCCCGACTATACTGTGCATACTATATACCACTGAACACTGCCTCAATTTCCTCATTTGTCCATAGAGATTTTGATAGTATTTTACAGGTCTATTATTACGGTGGCTCAAGTGCAGTAGTGCATATAAAGTGCTCAGGTTGATCCACAGCGAAAGATAAGTGCTGCCTATCCATAACATGATTTGTTCTTACCACCTGGAGGATTCTGCCCGGGCTGGGTGCAGGGGTGCGGGGGACGAGGAGTGGATGACACAGTGCTTCTGCCGGTCCATCTGCAAGTTTCTGTCACCAGTGCTAGGTGCAGGGCAAGTAAGAGCTCTTACTTTTCTTGTGATTTGTGTGCAAATCTTACCAGAGGCATTTTTCTGTCTACACCAGCTCAAGAAGTCACCGACTCTGCCATACAGAACATCGCACAGGGGCATAAGGCGACGGGCTTTCTCCGAAAAGCTCATCACAAGCAGATGGTTATTTTCCCAGAACAGGGACTAAGGAAAAATAAAATAAAAATTTAATATGGAATAAAATCAAATTTTGAAAGCACACCATCATCAATCAAGTCAAACAACCAATTTATTTTTCTTTTAATTAAAAAAAAAGAGAGGGAGAAAGTGAAAACTGAGAAAAAGAGACCGAAGGAGCAAGCACTGCATCCACTGGTTCACTCTGTAATGCTCAGCAGGGCTGAGCCAGGAGCTGATTCCAGGGCGCCCACCCAAGTGGCAGGAATCCTCCTGCCATCAGGTGGGCCATCAGCATCCCCTTCCAAGGGCTTTAGAAGCAGGAAGTGGAGTCAGGAGCCAGAGCTAGAAAATGGTATGAGGAACTTCAATATGAAATATTAACACACAACAGAAAAACTGGATCAAGAATGATCATGCTAGGCAGGCTGTGGCACAGCAAGTTAAGCCACTGTGTGGGATGCCCACATTCCATTTTGAAGTATAGGTTCAAGTTCCATCAGCTCCCCTTCTGATCCAGCTTCCTGTTAATGCATCCTACGAGGACAAAGAACGATGGCTCAGGTACTTGGGTCCCCTGTCACCCATGTGGGAGCTTGGACAGAATTCCAAACTCCTGACTTTGGCTTGGTTCAGTCCTGCTGTTTTGAGAATTTAGGTAGTGAACCAACTGTTACAAGGACACACCTCTCTCTCTCTTTTTCTTTGTGTGTGTGTGTGTGTGCGTGTTAGAGAGAGAGAGCTAGAGAGAGATTCTCCCATTCTTTCAACTGGATGAAAATTAATATACTCTTTTAAACAGGATGACTATCAGAGAATTAAAAATGATACCTTTCTTTAAATTCAACTATTTTATGTAGATTTATTTCCATTTGATCAGATCTTAGAGTACAGACTGACTATAAACATCATTTTCTTAAAGAAATTAGGCACTGGATAATCTGAAGGCATTAGAAGGGAGATTGGTCCGCTGGGAGGATATTGAGACTGAGTTCTTTAAGCGCCAAGGGAGGCTAATCGGAAGCGGCCTGAAGAGGCCCATCCCTGGCATGCCCTGAAGGCTTCCAGATGAGGCCAGGCAGGTTGCAAAAGGGCCTTCCCCCTCGGCAGGCAGGAGCCCTGGAACTGCTGCAGGCTGCAGTACATGCAGCCCACCTAGCACTGCCGTTACCTTGTCTCTGGGAAGCGCATGCTTGGAGAGGTTAATGAACAGGTCGTAGTCTGAGGGGAGCACAGAGCAGGGATCCTTGTCCAGCACCACTTTAAAGGCTTCCCAGATGGCCGTGCAGTTCTTCTCCCTGTATGATAGAACACAGTCAGAAACAAACCACAACATGACAGAAACAAACCACGTGTCAGTCAGACACAAACCACAACATGACAATGAGGCACTTCCTCTCTTCCAGGGGCTTTACCAGTGGTTTTGTCATCTGTTGATTCAGCAGATCAAAGAACACTAAACAAAACACAACACACACACACACTCACACACACACATCATGGCTCAAGGGACAGAGTTAGAAACTGGACACTGGGGCCGACCTCGTAATGCAGCAGATTCACCATGCTACAGCAGCATCTTTTATGAGGTCAGATTTGAGTCCCAGCTGCCCAAGCTAGCTCCTGGCTAAGGCGCCCAGAAAAGCAGGGGAGATGGCCTCAGTGCTTGGTCCCTGTGCTTATACGGGGACCCAGACGAAGTTCCAGGATTCTGGCTCCAGCTTGGCCCATATATGGCTGCTGCAGCCACCGGGGGAATGATCCAGTGAATGGAAGATTGATCTCTGTGTATATCTCCCTGTTTCTCTGAAACACTGGCTTTCAAATAAACAAATGCATCTAAGGGAGGGGAGGAGAGATAAGATGGAAAGAAGGAAAGAGGGACGGAATGAAGGAGGGAAGGAGAGAATGAAGGGAGAGAGGAAGGAAAGAAGGAAGGGTGAGAGGGAGAGAGGCAAGTGCTGAGTAGAATGGCCCAAATTTGAAATATTTATTTATTATTGGAAAGTCAGTTACATAAAGGAGGAGAGACAGAGAGGAAGATCCTCTGTCCACTGGTTCACTGCCCAGGTGGCTACAATGGCCAGAGCTGAGCTGATCCTGTGCCAGGAGAGGCAGAAGCTTCTTCCAGATCTCCCATGCAGGTGCAGGGTCCCAAGGCCTCGGGGTTGTCCTCCACTGTTTCCCCAGGCCACAGAGCTGGATGGGAAGTGGGGCCCCGCTGGGATTAGAACCAGCACCTATAAGGGACCCTGGTTCATGCAAGGCAAAGACTTTAGCCACTAAGCTACCATGCTGGGCTGCGAGGACTCAGCCTTTAAATGTCCTCTTAGATTATAAGAACTGATATTTAACTTCCCTTAGGACCTGAATTCAAGAAACTCCAAATGGAGCCCACATCCAGGGATCTGAGGGCTCTAAGCCTGTGCTGGCAGGCAACGGGCCATCGCCGGCGCTCACCTCAAACTTACCTCAGCTGTAGACTGATATCCGATATCCCATTTCCGCAACTCACCTTCACTGCCCCTAGACACAGCGCCCCCCTCGGCTACGCAGCAGCTACAGCCCTCCACTGCGCTGCTCACTTCCGGGTCCCCATCTCTACAGAGCTCTCTTCCTTTAGAACTCCGACACAAACACATCTTGGCCCCCATCCCATCTTCAGGACCGGTTCCCCCTCCCCAGACCCTCTGAGGTTTTCGCCAGTTTCCCCTTCTTCGTCAGTCCCGCCCCTCCCCGCCTAGCCCCAGGCGCTCACCGCTCTTCTGGGCTCAGCAGCTGCGAGCTGTACTCGTCGCAACGACCCAGGAAGATGCTCTCCAGGTTCGGGCTGGTGCCCTCCCCGTGCCACTGCGCGCCCGCCACGCCCGCATCCAACAGCAGCAGCAGCAGCAGCCATAGCAGCCACCACGTCGCGCGGCCCTGGGCGGCCATCTAGATGACTGAGTCCTCCAGCTGCCAGACTCCGGGTCTCCTCCCAATTCCTTCCCTGAGGCTCAGCTCCCAAACCTCAGGGTTCCGGCCCTTACCACCCTCGATCCCTCTTCCCGCCGTCCTTCCTCCAGCAGTTCCACAGGAGTTCAGGACAGCCAGCCAGTCTGCTGATTAGGGCAGGCAGGTACAATGATCAGTGTTCAGGCATCTGTGCATCTCCGACACGGGCCAAGGAGAAGTGGCTTTCCGGAAACAACCACCAAATGTTGTCACTGGGTGGCACCTACTCTGCAGGTATGATGCTCATTTACTTTGACCACGCTCCCAGTGAGTTTGTAATTGCCCTCTTAGAAGGAAGTGAAAGAACTTGTCTAGGATAATAATCTCTGCCACTGATAAGTGGAAAATCAGAGAGCCAAGGTGAACAGGATTCCACGTGGAGGGCCAAGTCCTTGATCCCTGCACTAAGGATTTCTAGAAAGGTGGAGTGCCTGGCAGGAACTTGATAAAGATAGGTGCCCAGGATTCCTCACTAGATTGGTACTGTACAGTGCTCTTGGGGGTATGCAGGGGTGAAAGCCAAAACTTCTTTTGTATTCTAGAAGTGAAAGAATAATGCTCAAAACAGAAACGCCAACATCGAAAGGCAGCACACAGGCATGCTATTTAGAAAGGTGAGAGTAAGTACAGCAAGAAAAACACGAGCAAGTTTGAACACGTTTTCTAGAAAGTGGGCTTGAGGACGGGCTTGGCGGGAGAATAGAGGTTTTGTTTACAGAAAAAGGATCCAACCAAACTGGAGCATAAGATTACACACCACGGTTCTAAGGAGTTTTTCCAGTCTTTCACTGACAAAGAGCTCATCATTAGACCCTGCAACATTCCTTTGATTCTACCTGGTCCCCTATCTCACCCAAGATACGTCATCCAATTCCTCCCCTTTTAGACATTCCTAGGGCATCAACTGCCTTTCTCCTCGCTCACAGTAACCAGCATAGGCTTATCTTGGGCAGATCAGCTACAGCTGTACCCCTTGCTCACTTCCTTCTCATCTTCCCAAATCCTGGCACTGACATCTTCTGATCTCTTATCCTTTGTTTACATTCATTGCACTTACTGTCCTCTTGTGAGGGAGTTCCTATGAGGGACAATGTCTCCTATGCCTCATAAGAGCTTGTAACATGACTTGCTCCAGTTGTATAATGCGACAGGAAGCACACAGCTCCCCCACTGACATATTCATGAATGTATGTAATCTTTCATTTTCTTGCAGTTACTTCTCTTACATTTACTCACTTTCTCACTGTCTTACACCTTCGTGAGTATAAATGTATTCATCGTCATTTCCTAAGCTTTCAGATTTAACTGAGCAGGGGGCTGGGTGTTGTGGCATAGCAAGTAAAGTTACCACCTGAGCCAACGGTATACAGAGGCTCGCTCAGATGTTTGGAGCCCTGAAACCCAGATGAAGCTCCTGGCTCCTGGCTCCTGGCTCCTGGCTTGTGGCTCTGGGCTTTGGCCCAGCCCAGCACTGGCTGCTGCAGCCACCTGGATAGCATACCAATAGATGGAAGATCTCTTTCTTTTTCTCTGTAAGTCTGACTTTTCAGAAGAAATAAATATATATTTAAACAGAGATTCAATTGAGCAGGACTTTAGATTTGACTACTTATTTTCAGTAAACACTGGAGTCAGAGGAAAACGTGAAAAGATATGAGGCCATAGTGTGGTGGAGTTGCCTGCAGATAAGTGACAGATATATTTTTAGGAACTTTTGAGTCATTTGCTACATATATGTTGCATATGCCATATATATATGATATATATACTATATATACAAATATGCATATATACACTGTATTATGCACATATATAGTGTAGTGTGTGTGTATATATATATTCTCTATATAAATAATTAAATCAACTATATAACAATGATAATAAACACCCCAAAGGCCTCCAACTTTCTATTACCGCACGTGGCCATTATCCCTGCCCTGGGATCTTTATGACTGTCTGTGTAGCTGAACCGTGATATCGTGTATTACTGCACATCTTCGCCCAACCCAGGGTTCAGTGACACCATGATGGCAACTTGAAACCAGCCACAGTGGAAAGGAAAATGAACAAAGTTGCAAAGTCAAGTCCATCTACCCTCATTGCACCCTGGCTAGGAAATGCCATTAAACATTTATCCGCACAGCACCAACCACAAATTTTGCAATCAGGAAGCTACAGAATGAGGAAATTCTTCAGGAAATGATTCACTTTCCTCAATAATTAAATGAAACTAAAAGGATAGAGACAAACCTTTCAGTTTAGAGGGTCAAATTAATTTTGTGGAGCTTATTAAAATAGGTAACAAATTGAACAAGATAAACCATGAAAAAAATAGCACAACCAAGTAAAGTTGAACTTTGGATGGTGTGAAATTAAGTAGTTAGTGTTAATATTTTTAGTAACAATGATGATATTGCAATACTGAAGTTAAACATAACACTCATGTTTTACACTGAAATATTTACAGATGAAATTAGATCTTTTTTTAGTTATTATTTTATTTTGATACTCTTTACACAGTTGGTTAGGGCAGCAGGAAAGTGAGTAAGACCACTGTTTCCACATTCTCTCTCCTTTTCCTTCTGTATCTGGGTAAGCGGGAGATAAAGCCAGTAGGGTTCCTTTTTCCCACGTCCACACCAGCAGGTGTGGTTGGTAGTTTTCTGTAAGTGGGCCATTCTCACTGGAGTTAAGTGGAATTCATTTGAATGTCCCTTATTGCTAGGAAGCGTGAGCATTTTTTCATATGTCTGTTAGCCATTTGGATTTGTTCCTTTGAAAAGTGTCTGCTTATTTCCTTCGCTCATTTCTTAACTGTTTTGTTGCTATGGTTATTCTGGAGTTCCTTGTATATTCTGGATATTAGCCCCCTGTGTGCTGTGCAGTATGCAAAGATCTTCTCCCACTCTGCTGGTTGCCTTTGTACTGTGTTGTTTGTTTTCTTTGCTGTGAGAAGATCCTTACTTTGATGTAGTCCTATTTGTTTAGTTTGGTCTTGACCACCTCTGGTTTTGACAACTTTTCTAAGTCTTTACCTGTGCCTATATCTTACAGAGTATTTCCTATGTTTTCTTCTAAAAGTTTGATGTTTCTGGGTATAAGTTTAAATCCTTTATCCAGGGCCTGGCGTGGTAGCCTAGCAGCTGGGGTTCTCAGCTTGCACACACTGGGATCCCATGTGGTTGCCAGTTTCAATCCTGGCAGCCCTGCTTCCCATTCAGCTCCCTGTTTGTGGTCTGGGAAAGCAGTCAGGGTCCCAACAGGACCCTGCACCTGCCTGGAAGACCTGGAAGATGCTTCTGTCTCCTGGCTTCAGATCGGCGCAGCTCTGGCCAATGCGAACACTTGAGGAGTGAATCAGTGGACGAAAGTTCTTCCTCTCTGTCTCTCCTTCTCTCTGTATCTGACTTTCCAATATAAATAAAAAAAATCTTTGAAAAAATAGATCCTTTATTCATTTAGATATGATCTTTGTGCATGGTATCTAAGTTGATCTTTGGATACAATGCCATTTTAAGAAAACATCAATTTTTAAAAAGGATATATTTTATTTAACTTGAAAAAGAGAGAGGGAGATCGTGCGTCTGCTGGTTTACCCCCTAGATGGTTACAGTGGTCAGCGCAGTGCCAGGCCAGAGTCTGGAGCAAAAAGCTTCACCCAAGTCTCCCACATGGGTGACAGAACCCAATGGCTTGGGTTATCATGCACTGCTTTCCCCAGCCCACTAGCAGGCAGCTGCATTGGAAGTGGAGCAGTGAGAACATCAACTGATGCCCATGCAGGTTGCCAAGCATCAAGGCTGCTGGTGGTGCAACATACAGCACACCACAACAGTAACTCCTTAAGTTTTTTCTTTTTGTCTTTTCTTTTTAATAGAAACTGAAGGCAAAGACTTTGGCCTCTAGGCCACCACGCTGGGCACATAGTTAATTTATTTTAAAATTTTTTTGCAAAGCTAATTCACCAAGGAAAAGTGTAGTCTTTTTAAACATCTGGTGCTGGACACACCTGTGTAGCACCTGTGTAGAAAAAACCATGAGCCTCATACAATGCCCAAGAAACAACCAAAAATAAGATCTACCAAAATAAAAATGTCTGTAGGTAGTTCTCCTAGCAGTAACAAGCAGTAACACCAAAAGCCAAATTCATAGAGTAACTGTGAGCACTGATCTGGACATCGGCCCTGAAGACCCCTGCCATTTTGGACTCAGCACTTAAATGTCCGCTTCCCCTTCCCGCGGCTCACACATTTTACGCCACTCTGGTTGCCCACCAATCTGCTGGAGTAAGCCGGCCCCCTGAACCCATCTGCTGTAACCTCAGGGCGCTGGACCTCACAGCCCTCTCCACCAGCCCCTCCTAGTCCCTGCCTCTAACCCCACCCACCTCCCAACCCCTGCAGCTCCCACAGTCCTACCCACCAATCCCTCAGACCCCACGATGCCAGTCCCTGCCACACAACAGGCACACTCTGGCGTGCCTGGCTCTCCTCTGTGCGTGCTGCCCTCTCCCCACCTGTCCCTTCCCCTATCCTCCTTTGCCTTGCCCCCCTCCCCTCCCTGGCAGCCCTCTCTTCTCTCTCCCTCCCTCTGCCTCTGCTCCCGTCCCTACCCTGCTGGAATAAAGGCCCTTCTAGGTACCTTCCTGTGCCTGGTGTTTTGACTCACTGCTGCAAACTTACCTTGAAAAAGAGGACATGGTGTCACATAAGAACTAACAAAAACAAATTTATATACTGGAATTCCTCAAAATTAAGAAATTCTCCTCTTCAAAAGGCACTGCCAGAAAATGAGAAATCCACAAACTGATATGTATTTGAAATACCTGCATCAAAGATTTGTGTTCAGAATATTGAAAGAACTCTTACAATTAAAAACCAGTAAGACAGGCCCAGCGCAGTAGCTTAGCAGCTAAAGTCCTTGTCTTGCACATGCTGGGATTCCATTTGGGTACAGGTTCTAATCCCGCTGGCCCTGCTTCCCAGCCAGCTCCTTACTTGTGTCCTGGGAAGGCAGTCGAGTACAGACCAAGGTCTTGGGATCCTGCACCCACGTGGGAGACTTGAAAGAGGCTCTTGGCTCCTGGCTTGGGTGGGCACAGCTCTGGCTGTTGTGGCTGCTTGGGGAGTAAATCATCATATAGATAATCTTCCTATCTGTCTCTCCTCCTCTCTGTCTGACTTTCCAATAAAAATTTTAAAAT